CAAAATGGTGATGATTTTTCTGTCATTTCTTCTGCATTCATTAGCTGGAATTCTGTGATTAATGATTTTCCCTCATGAAATATCTGGTTAACTTGCAGTGCAATTTGTACCAAAAATATGCAGAATAAATGGTTGATTCTTCACTTTGATTACTTCCAAAATAATTAGTTTGGTGTCCTAGCAACTTGCAAAGGTGACCAATTATTTTTTTAGTATCATTTGAACTCAGATTTTTACAGACTAATCCATTGCAGACTTTTCGTTTTCATGCTTGAATTATTCTATTATCCTTAGTGAAGTCCTTCAAGTTGCTGTGGGTCCCTTGGATGCAACCCTAGTAGCCTTTGATAATGTCTTTGTTTTATAGTATAATGGAATATTCCAAAATCATCTTATACATTTCATGCCCCAGACCTCAAATTACTCATTTCTCCAAGGAGCTGTGGTTCCTTCTGTGGGAAATGGTATCTAGAGACCACAGTATGTCCCTGGACTGTCATTGCTTACTGGGCTTTTATTGTTTCTGGAATCTTTCAGTAGGCAGGTTATTTAAAGGAAAAAATAATCATGAGCTCATTCATATTTTCTATTTAAATTTAAGATTATAAGGTTTCTTAACATACAAATTTATTTCATTTTATACTTTTTAAAATGGTGAAATGCTCAGCTCTTAACAATATTGATATAACTGTTTGATTCTAAAATATTATTACTAATATTATGACCAGTAATAAGACTACTATCCATTGAAGATATATAGATGTTATATATTAAGGTCAGTTGGAACACTTGTTTTCTCTTTGTGGTTATGACAACAGCTTGATGTACAAGATTCATTTGCTTTAGTTTGTTTTCAGTTTTTAAAGATTGATTTTTTAAATGTTTTAAAATTTATTTTTAATGACTTTATTGAGATACAATTCACATACCATACAATCATCCATTTAAAGTATATATACAGTTCAGTAGGTTTTGACATAGTCACAAATACGTTCAGTCATCACCTCAATTTTAGAACATTTTCATCATCTCAAAAAGAAATCCTACCACGAGCAATTTTTTCCTGAGCGCATCTCCTCCGGAAAGGGAAACAAAATAAAAAAATGAACAAATGGGATTACATCAAAGTAAAAAGCTTCTTTACAACAAAGGACATCATCAGCAGAACAAAAACGCATCCTACAGTATGGGAGAATATATTTGTAAATGACATATCTGACAAGGGATTAACATCAAAAATATATAAAGAACTCACCCGCCTCAAGACCCAAAAGCAAATAACCCAATTAAAAAATGGGTGGAGGATATGAATGGACATTCCTCCAAAGAAGAAATTCAGATGGCCAACAGGCACATAAAAAGATGGTCCACATCGCTGATTATCAGGGAAATGCAAATTAAAACCACAATGAGATATCACCTCACACCAGTTAGGATGGCCAATATAGAAAAGACTAGGAACAACAAATGCTGGCAAGAATGCGGAGAAAGGGGAACCGTCCTACACTGCTGGTGGGAATGTACACTAGTTCAACCATTGTGGAAAGCAGTATGGAGGTTCCTCAAAAAACTAAAAATAGAAATACCATTTGACCTGGGAATCCCACTCCTTGGAGTTTACCCAAAGAAACCAACTTCTCAGATTCAAAAAGACATATGCACCCCTGTGTTTATTGTAGCACCATTTACAATAGCCAAGCTATGGAAGCAACCTAATTGTCCATCAGTAGATGAATGGATAAAGAAGATGAGGTACATATACACAATGGAATACTATTCAGCCATAAGAAACAAATTCTACCATTTGCAACAACATGAATGGAGCTAGAGGGTATTACGCTCAGTGAAATAAGTCAGGCGGAGAAAGACAAGTACCAAATGATTTCCCTCATTTGTGGAGTATAACAACGAAGCAAAACTGAAGGAACAAAATAGCAGAAGACTCACAGACTCCAAGAAGGGACTAGTATTTACCAAAGGGGAGGGGTGGGGGATGGCGGGTGGGGAGAGAGAGAGAAGGGGATTGTGGAGTATCATGATTGGTGCACATGGTGTGTGTGGGGTCACGGGGAAGACAGTGTAGCTCAGAGAAGATAAATAGGGACTCTGTGGCATCTTACTACACTGATGGACAGTGACTGCAATGGGGTATGGGAGGAGACTTGATAATAAGGGTGAATGTAATAACCACATTGCTTTTCTTGTGAAACCTTCGTAAGAGTGTATATCAATGATACCTTAATAAAAAAAAAAAAAATCCTACACCTCCCAATCCCATCATCCCCCCCATCTCTGAACAAACACTAATTTACTTTCTATCTAGAGATCTTCCTGTTAAGGACTCTATGTAAATGGACTCATATGATATGTGGTCTCTATGTGAATAGACTCATATAATATGCAGTCTTTTGTGACCAGCTTATTTTACTCAGCACAATGTTGTTGAGGTTTTTCCACGTCTCTATGATCCAAGGGGGTGCCTCAGCTTCTCCGCTGGGTTCTGGGATTTTCACAAAGGTGTCTTATCTATGGATAGTTCCTGGTTGGTCATTTTGTGATAGAGACTGAAATTGGCAACCAAATATTCCACCATGTTGGTGACATCATGTCCCATGTTATTTTATATTGTAATAACTGTGTGTATTACATTTCATTTATTGTCTTTCTCTAGTATGTTTTTGCTTTTTCTAAAATTTATTTTGATATTTAGGAAGGGTTATCTTTATATTCAGTAGTTTTTTTTTATATATAAACCCTTTAGAGTACCTACATTAGTTATCTATTGCTGTATAACAAGTTACCCCAAAATTAGTAACTTAAAAAGATTAATACTTTTTTTCTCACAGTTTGCATGGGTGTGGTTTATTAGCTGGGTGCCTTCTACTCAGCATCTCTAATGCATGTCCAGTTAAGCTGTTGGCCAGGACTGCAGTCATCTCAAGGCTCAACTGTGGTTGGCAAATCTGCCTTCCAGCTTGTTCACATAGCTCTTGGGAGGCCTCAGGACATCCACACGCATGCCCTCGCATGTCACTGCTGGCTCACCTTGATTCCTCACCCCATGGGCCACTGTATAGGTTTCCTGAGAGTTCTCACAATGTGACAGCTGGTGATCTAAAAAGAAAAAGAGCCAGACAGTGCCTAAGATGGAAACAAGTCTCTTTATAACTAATCTCAGAAGTCACATCCATCACTTGTGCTATATTATATTTGTTAGAATTCCTAAGTCTAGGAGATGGGATGGCACAAATACATGAATGTTTGGAAACAGGTTTCACTGACTGCTGTCATAGGGGGCTTTCTAGTATAATTCCCTTAATCCTCTGGTTAAATGGTTTGATGCTACCTATTACTTATACAGTTGTAATGATCTTATTCTACTTTTGGCTACTTATTCTACTTACCCCTTTTTCCTTTGATTTTAAAATTGCATTCTTTCTACTTTGCCAGAAAACATAATATTTAAATTATATTCTTCTCCCCATGTACTCAACTGCGTTTTAATCTTAGCCCCACAATTACATGCATAACTGTTCATTGTAAGTCTTTTTGCTGAAGTTCCCGAGTCATCTTGTTGTTGGATGAAGCCCATCCTCTAGTAGATTCCTCAGGAAGGGAACATGTTTACAATATTCCCTGATTTTTTGCATGTTCCAAACTCTTTTTCTGTAACTTCAACAATTGAAGGAGAGCTTGGCTGCATATAAAATCCTTGGCTCATGCTTTTTAAAGTTTTTGGAAAATGTTGCTTCTCTGTTTTCCCATTTTACAGGTTGCTCTTCCAAAGTCCAGTGACATTTAATTGTCTTGCCCTTGAAAGTTATTTTTATCTTTTTATTTACCTTTTTGCCTATAGGTTATGAGGAGTCTTAAAAATTCTTTTAAGTCTAGTAATTCTGCTTAAATATGACTTAGATTTGGTCATTCTGAGTAAGTTTTCCTGGTATCTACCGGTCCCTTTTGATTACGTTTTATTCCTGGAAAATTTTCTTGGATTGTAGTTTTAGATATTAGTTACACTCTAGTGCTTTACTTTTCTTCTCCATGGGCTCCAATTATATATAGCATATTGGGCCTTCTTTGTCTTCTATTTCAACACTTGTTGTTTGATTTTTTTTTTCCTTAAAAAATTTTTCATGTTAATTTCCATGGTGTTTTACTGCTTTATCTCAGTGTACCTTATTGCATCTTCATTCAAGTCTATTTTACTTTATGCACCTCTTTCCCCTCCATTTTGGTGTAGTGAAGCTTTACTGTCTTGTGAATTTTTTAATGATTTTAGGGTTTTTTTATTTTACATTGTAGTAAGCATTTTTAGTGTTTTTCCCTTGGAGGGGGAGGGCACAGAATTGAATAAACTAGGCTATTACTGAAAATAGAAATTCCTACTTAGTCATAAATGGGCCCCCACAGTTGCTACAAGTATAAGGAAGGATATACAAAGGGGTGATGTCATATTTATTTGATTTGGAGATATTAGCTGGATGTTTAATGTCTTATTTATGACTGTAAACTTCAAAACTTTTTCAAGAACTTCCTCTTTCCCATCTCATTTCATGCTGCCTTCTTTGAATCTGCCCAGCTGTGAAGGCCTGAAGCCTTATATTTTTTCTGTTTGAAGGGTGTTATGAAAGAGAATTGTCAAACAAGCAGATAAAGTAGCAACCTGTGTAGTATATTTATTGGGCAGTGTTTATTTGTTTACTGGAGAAAATAAAACTGCCAAAATGTAGGAACTGTTTGAATTTCCATGTCTTCCCTGAGCTTAGCCTAGAATCACTTGGTTTGTCTAAAATGGATCCTAGACTTTGGGGTAAGGCTCAATCTAGATTAGTTCCATGGAATAGACTCATTTAGTTTAGGTATTTTTTCTAAGCATTTGATGTATTTTTGAAGATCAGTATTTTCTAAACCTTCCTATTTATGAAAGAGCTGTTTTTTTTTTAATGTGACCTGTGTTCAAGAATTAACTCTGTTCTCAAACTTCTTTTCACTCCTAGGTGAGCAAAAGAAATAACTAAAAATGACAAGTAGAAGACTTGAGGAGTCCATGGGAGCTGTTCAGATGGGGTTAGTTGGAATGTTTAAAGGATTCCAAAGCAAGGTTTTGCCACCCCTGAATCCAAAAGTGGTTACAGAAGAAGAAGTAAATCAAATGGTAATATATCAGAGAATTTCACTGTAAAATGCTTAATGTAGGCTTCTTAGGAGAATGAAGCTGCTATTTGATATTCTCAAAATATCAGAGAATTACTGACTTATAATATCAATTTAGTTAAAATAGTAGCTTATTGCAAAGGATAGTTACTTTTTAAAGCCTGAGAAGTTTTTGAAATTACATATATCAATATAGAGGTTTGAATTGCTTGAATAATCACTTGAAGTAAGACTATTCAAGCAAATTTTCAAGATTTTCTAAGTATTATGTTAAATCTTCTGTGACTATCATTTGTGTGGTTCAAAAGTAAATATGAATTTCATAGGGTTTAACCTAAATAATCTATCACCTGATGATTGGCAAGAGTTATTTTTATTTGCAGATCATAGAGCATTAAAATAATGAATATATGATTTAGGAAAAATACTTAATTTTGTCTGGCTTTTAAAATAAAAACTATTAATTTCTTAATGAACTATAATGATTTGGTGAGAATTGAATTGCAAACTACAGAAAATACCAATAATAATTAACAGTGTTAGAGACAGTATTCACTGCATTTTAAAAACTACTCTAAAGTTTTGTTCCAATTTGAAGAACAACAATCTATTATTTTTCTCTTTTGTGATGGTTATGTTTCATACTTAAAGTAACTCCTGACTTTTGCTTTTAAGATTTCATCATTTAAATCACAACACAACTGATACTTCTTAACATTTTAATATTCTAATCTGGGTTCCAATAAAAAAGAACCTAACAAACCAAGTTGGAAGCTGTATTAGAAATAGTGTCTTCATTTAAATGGAACAGAAATTAATTTTGTAGGGAATGAAGAGCATTGATTTGAACCCAAGGTGAAGGGAATGAAGAATATTGATTTTAACCCAAGGTGAAATGAATCAGTTAAATTCTGTATCTCTGAAGGTTTTTGGCGCATACTTAAGCATTATGTTGCTGTCAGTGATCATAATCTCCTTGCATAAAAAGTAGGCCCTGGAACTATGTGAACACCCCAGAACTAAATAATAGTGATTGGTCCCAGGTAACTAAGCCCTTGTTGGGTTGTTTAAATGATAGGTTACATATTTTTCTCTTAACATTAGAATGTATTAAGCATTTTGTGCTCTTATTTGGGTGTGTGAATATGACTGGCTGCCAGATCTGACGACTGGCTAAGTGCTCTTTTAAAACAAGATCTAAATGTGCACTTGTCCTTTTTAAGTCCAAACTCATTCCTAGGCAGTACATTCACACTTCCTAGATCCTTTACATTTTATGAGATTTCTCTTTAACTTCGTATAACATGATAATTACACACTCAAAAGCTTTGCTGGCATGTTGTAACTTAAATTGAAGAAGAGAAGTATTTCAAATGCCTTAGCTCCGAAGTCTGTAAGTGATTTTGGAAACTTAAGAGTTTTATGCTCAGATGCTTCTTCTGAGCATAAATGTTAAACTCTTTGAATGTGTTCCTGTGCAATTTCTTGACTCCTCCCTCCCCCAGGTTCTTTTGCATGATTCCCTCAAAATCATAAGGAAACAGTAGCTACATGTCATTTGAAATTACTGTGCAAAGAGCTCACAAGTGCACAGGTACTTACTTCTCTTGTATTAGTCAGTTCCTTTAAATATTTTATGAGGAAACTTAGTGGCTTTCCAAATTATTAATTACTGGCACTTTTGAAAACATTTCAGTATAACCATTTATGAATCTTTGGCTCCTGTTGTTTTAAATTCCAGCTGACACCCTCGGAGTTCCTGAAAGAGATGTCCCTCACCACAGAGCAGAGACTGGCCAATACACGTTTGATGTGCCGACCACAGATTATTGAACTTTTAGATATGGGGAAAACAACACATCAAAAGGTAGCTGCTTTCTGTCATACTTGCATATAAAGTAGGCCCTGGAATAATGTGAACATTCTAGACCAAGAGTAACTAAATAATAGTTATTTTTATTTATTTATTTATTTTATTGAAGTATAGTTGATATACAGTCTTATATTGGTTTCAAACACACTACACAGTAGTTCAACAGTTACCCATATTATTAAATCCTCACCCTCACCAGTGCAGTTATTATCTGTCAACATAGGAAGGTATTACAGAATCACTGGCTATACTCCCCGTGCTGTGCCACCATCCCGGTGGCCAAGTTATACTATGATCGAGAATTTTTGTGCCCCTTTATGCCCCTCACCCTCCTCACCTACCCACCCATATTAGTTTTCTTCTGGGCTAACTAATCTCTTATTGAGTTTGTTTTATACATTCTTTTTCTATCTGTGTTGATTTTGATATCTTTGATATGACATGGAATGAACTGCAAGTAATAAATACAAATAACTTTTGATAGTCGCATTTCTTTCTTAGCTACTTCTGGACACTACTGTTTACAGGTTAGGAGTAATTCCAAGAATTATACTAGCCAAGTCAGGCTCACTTCGCCTTGTACACTCTGTAAGAGGCTTTGATCAATGTACAGTGACGTGTAGCCACCATTATCGTATCACACAGAATAGTTTCACTGCCCTGAAATCATGTGCTCTCCCTGTTCTTCTCTCCCTCCTTTCTGCTGTCATTGACAATCACTCGTGTTTTTGTTTTCTTCTTCATTTCACCTTTTCCAGGATGTCATATATCTGGGATCAGATATATAATTTTCAGAGTGGCTTCTTTCTATTAGTGATATGCTTTTAAGGTTCTTTTCTATCTTAATTTTGTATATATTTCACTTGCTCCTCTGAATTTACTATTTCCAGCAGAATGCTGAATAAAAGTTATGACTGAAGGCATCCCTGTCTTATTTCCTAAAGGAAAAGAAAAAAAAAATCTCATTATTTTGCCACTAAGTGTAATATAATGTTTTCTTTGTGAAGAGCTAGATACTCTTTGTGAGATTAAGGAAGTTATCTGTTTTTCCTAGTTTGCTGGGAGGTTTTTACTGTGAAGAGGTATTTAATTTTATCAAATATGTTCCTGTATCTATTGAAGTGATTGTAGTAATTTTCTCCTTTATTCTCTTGTGTCAAAACTACATTTATTTTTAAATAAAATTTTTATTTAATTTGTGTGTGTGCTGTGTGTGTGTGTGTATTATAATCATATAGCTTGATGAATTTTAACATAGTGACATACTCATATACTACCACCTCAGATCAAGCAATGTAGAATATAACATTGTCCCCATTCTCGAAGCCTGCTTATGCCTGTTTCCCAGTCATTACCATTCCCTCTTCTCCAGAAGAACCACTGATCTTAAGTTAGTTTTTCCTTTATTTGACATTTATTAAGTGGAATACTACAGGATGTGCTCTTTAGTTTCTGGCTAATTTCACTCAATATACTATGTTATTGAGATTTATTTGTGTTACTGTGTTTAGCAATGGTTCCCTCATTCATTTTTATTGCTCTGTACTATTCCATTGTATGCAAACCACAATTTGTATATCCATTTTCCTGTTGATGAGCATTTGCTTTTTGCATGTTTGGACTATTATAAATGATGCTGTTATAAACACTCTTGTACATATCTTTTAGTGTACATGTTCACATTTCTATTGGTCATATACATAAAAGAGGAATTTCTGGGTTATAAACTATACATATATTTAGCTTTGGTAGATAATTACCAGTTTTCTAAAGTGTTTATACCTATTTACACTCCCAGTAGCTGTGTGTGAGAATTCCAGTTGCACTTACTCCTTGCTAAAACAATATTGTCAATCTCTTTAATTTAAATAATTCTATTGGGTCAGTAGTATTGTCATACTCTGATTTATTTTGCAATTTATTGATTGCTAATGAGGTTGAGCACCTTTTCATATGTTCATTAGCCATTGGGATATCATCTTTTATACATTGTATGTTTGTTTTTGCCTATTTCATATGGAGTTATAAAAGTTCTTCATATATTTTGGAGACTAGTCCTTTATCAATTATATGTATACAAATAATTTCCCATTCTATGGCTTTCTTTTTCATTCCTTAAAGGGTATTTTTTGATGAGCTTTAGTTTTTAATTTCAATATGATTTAATTTACCAATTTTTTCACTTGTGTTTTGTATTTGCTTTGTCCCATTAAAGAAAATTCTGCATTTTCAACATCATGAAGATATTCTTCTTTGTTTTCTTCTGAAAACTTTGTGGTTTTATCATTCATATTGGTAGATTTGATGCACTTGGAATGGTGTACAATAGGGTTAAATTAACATTCAGTTAACTGAGCACAATTTATTGAAGAGAACATATCCCTTCCCCAATGCTTTTTAGTGTTACCTTTGTTATTAATCAAGTGTCCATATATTTAAGGACTTGTTTTTGGGCTTTCCAACCTGTTACATTTGTTTTTATGATAAATCTTGTGTTAACATTTCATTATTTTAATTACCAGGGTAAGTACAGTATATGATATGTAAGAATATAATTATAGTAAGTCTTGGTATTTGATAGAGCAGTTCCTCCTATCTTGTTCTTCAAATATATCTGGTCTATTCTTGGTCCTTTGCTTTTCTATATAAATTTTATAATCAGCTTTTCAAAAAAATTCTGCTAGGGTTTTGAAAATTGGATTGCATTGAATTTTTAGATCAAATGGGGAAGTATTCGACGTGCTTAAAATATTGAGTGCTTCAATTCATGAACATGATATATTGTTGTATTTATGTGGGTCTTCTTAAATTCCTTTCAATAATCTTTTGTAGTTTTTCTGGATAAAGGTCTTGCACATCTTTCATAGGCTTTATTCCTGTATATTTTATGTTTTGGGTGCTGCTTTAAATGATATTGTTTATAAATCTCTTTTCCTGAATGTTCATTGCTAGTACATAGAAATATAATGGATTTTTGTATGTTGACCTTGTACTTAGTGACCTAATAAATCACTTGCTGACTCTAATAGTTTATCTATAGGTTCCTTACAATTTTATAAATAAACAATTTTTTCTTCTGGGGAACATGACAATTTTGTTTCCTCTTGATCAATTTCTAATGTTAAAACAACTTTAAATTTCTGAGATAAATTCAACTGGGTCATGATGTATTATCCTTTTAATATATTGTGGATGGCAGTTTGCTAATGTTTCATTACTTTTTTCAGATCTACAGTTCATGAGTAAGATTGGCCTATAGTATTCCTTTCTTCTACAGTCTTTTTTGGGTATATGAAAGCTATCCCAACATCATCAGTTGAGTTAGTAGATATTTAATATGTTGTTTCTCTTTGGGAGAGTTTCTGTAATATTTGAATGTATCATATATGAATGTTTGCTAGAATTTTCTCTATGAGAGGTTTTTATTTACAGATTCAATTTCTCAAATAGTTATAGAATGACTTGTATTTCTTTTTTGTAGTTGTTCTCAGTATCTTTAGTTTGTTCTTACAAATTTATAGGAAACTTATATTCCTTTGCTTTTCCTTGAATTAATTTTATTTATGTATTTATTTATTTATTTTTTAATTAAGGTATCATGGATATACACTCTTATGAAGGTTTCATATGAGTGACATTGTGGTTACTACATTCACCCGTATTATCAAGTCCCACCACACCCCACTGCAGTCACTGTCCATCAGTGTAGTAAGATGCCACAGTCACTACTTGTCTTCTCTGTGCTACACTGTCTTCCCTGTGAGCTCCCCACACACCATGTGTGCCAATCATAATACCCCTCAATCCCCTTCTCCCTCCCTCCCCACCCACCCTCCCCCACCCTTCCCTTTGGTAACCACTAGTCCCTTCTTGGGTTCTGTGAGTCTGTTGCTGTTTTGTTCCTTCAGTTTTGCTTCGTCGTTATACTCCACAAATGACTGATATCATTTGGTATTTGTCTTTCTCCACCTGGCTTATTTCACTGAGCATAATATCCTCCAGCTCCATCCATGTTGTTGCAAATGGTAGGATTTGTTTCTTTCTTATGGCTGAATAGTATTCCATTGTGTATATGTACCACATCTTCTTTATCCATTCATCTACTGATGGGCAGAACTACTTGCATTTCTATTTCTTCTAATGCTAGTTTTGATAAATTTTATCTTTTAGGAATTTGTACTTTCTATCTAAATTTTCACATTTATCAACATAATATCCATTTATTATCTTTTTGCTTAGTTCAGATTCTGTAGTAATGACCCCATTTTCATTCTTTATAATCATTCTCTGTGCATTCTGTCTTATTTTCTTGATCAAACTGTGTATTTTACAAATTTTCTGGTCTTTTTAAAGACTCACCTTTTGGCTCTGTTGATTCTATAGTATGGTTACCTTCTATATCATCAATGTCTGCTATTGTCTTTGTTTTGTCATTTTTCTAGCTGTTTGGGTTTTTTTATGTTTGTATTGTTTTTCTAAATTATTGAGATGGATGCTTACACTGTCAGTTTCCAAACTGTGTGCCAAGGTGCCCCAATGTACAACTACAAACTTACAGGGCATCATGGGATATTCTGAATTTTTAGGGAAACATGGCATACTCAAAACATGTTGAATACTTTACAAGTTACTAGCCTGATGTAATTCAAGCTTCAACATTAGATCATTAGATCTTGTTAACTGTTCAGGTATTTGTTTATACAACTTTTCTTGTTATTCTCATAGGGGTATTAGTTCAAATTACCTTATACACCATTACTGGAAATGGAAGTATTGGATTGGTGTGCTAATTAGCCTGTATTTTTTAAGGCGAGGATCAAAACATCTTTCTTCTGTATTGAAGAAGTTGGTGATAATAACTTTACTAATTGTAACAATTGCTTATAGTAGTTACCCCTCTTTGAGTGTTTCTTGTGTTGGTAGTATTAATATCCATCAGTCTGGGTAGTATTATCTTACCAGTCATTTCTTTCAGTGTATGACTCTATGATTAATTTACTCTTTAAACTACAGTTTTCAGGAATTGACCTGGATCAGGCATTATTCCAGCCCTTCCCATCAGAAATTGTATTTCAGAACTACACTCCCTGTGAAGTCTATGAAGTTCCACTGATTTTGAGGAACAATGACAAAGTGAGTATGTTCACTGGGATGGCTGTACCCTTTATGGATATTTAAGAAAGGATTAAATAAAATGGGATTCTGTAGGATCTTAGATAAATTCCTTAATTTGATAAGCCTAGGAAAACAGATGAACACACACACTTTGACTTTAAGTTTAATGAAGACAAGGCTATGTTGATTTTTTTTGTTGTTGCTATATGTTCAATCCCCGGGCAGTGCCCAACATGGTAAACTCCCAACATGTGCACTAACATTTCGTTAAATAAAATATTGTCTGTATGAATGTCATGAAGTTCTCATGTGTGAACAGTTGGGCTAGGTTTTCAATTAAGACCAGACAATTACTATTTGTGTTTATATGCCTTGTATTATAGTCACCATTTCCCCAATTGAAGATATAAGCTCTGCTCATATGAATTATGATTGTTGAGCCAATTCATATGTATTCTACAACTGTATATATATTTTTTAAAACTTAAAAAAAATGGAGATCCCTTTCCCCACTTTCTATCTTTTCCCTTCTATCTCAGAAAGCTTTCAGAGTTTGTCCACAGATAGTTTTAGACAGCTTCTCCCACTGTCTGTACCTTTTCTCTTTGTGGTTGCAATTGAAGATTTCTTCTCCATCCTTATGCATTTTTCTTCCAAGATGAATTAGGGTTTATTTCAAGAAAAAATATTAAATGCCTGAAGATATCCTTGACATCAAACAATAATGAACGCAAGAGTAATGTGGGAGGTCAGCATGAAGCAGTTAAGTGTGAAAAGTAATCAGATGGGAAGGAGGGCATCTGAACAATGTTAAATTGAGTATAAGGGCAAGAGGAACACTTACAGAGAATGTGGAGGCAAAAAATTCTAGCTGTAAGGAAAAGGGGCAAATAAGTGAAGACTGCGCAAGAATCCAAGGCAAATGGGAAGCTGTGCAGTTCTGTACGGTATCAGTGCAGTATTGTATTCAGCTCATTAAGGGAATCAGTGATGCCTTTTAGAGGTCGGTGGGGGTGACTGAGTGACAGTAAAGTCAGACTGTGGAGGAAATGGCCCATTGTGTTCTCAGCTGCTGGAGTGCTAGCAAGAGAAGCTCATGAAGCAGAAGCTAGAAGGATAGGCAGAGAGAAGAATTTTCTCACTTCCGTTCTCTTTTTCCCTTTCTCCACTAATTTTTGACCCTTGCTTAGGTATTTTTAGGCTATTAAAGACAGAAAGGAGCTAGAGAAAGGGTACTTTGGTCACTCCTCCCTGGCCCCAAACGAGAAACAATTGTCAGTGGGCGTACATGAGGAAGTCAAGGGTGCAGGGCGTGTGTAAGTTTTGTCTGCCAAAGGGCACTCAGTTCTCAAGGACAACCCAACATGTCTTGATACGATGCTGCTATAGTTTTGGACCTCATGAAAGGAAGGTCCCCATCCAGGGAAAGTCCAGCTACCAACAAGCAGACAGATTTCTTTAGGCTAGGCAGGCTTGTCCTTGGGTGAGTTATTCCTAGAACCGTTGTAGCAGTTGGCTTGTATGTCTGCTTCTCTGCTTCCTTGTCATGGATTCATAAGGAACCACTGGGATGGATTTGGGGCACTGAGAAATGCTTCCTGTGACATTTATCTTCTATTTGTTTCCTCATGAGCATGGAATGCAAAAGACAGAGACTGTTGAGTCATAATTTCTCTCACACACACAAGGTGAGAATATGTCATTAATACTCTATGAGCCACGACATGATTCTCCTTGGGATACAGTTATAAGCACCCAGACTCTGAGTCAGACTAATCTGTGTTCAGATTCCAGCTCGGCAGTCTCCCATCTTCAGACCTTGGCTAAGTCTTTTACTTCTCCAAGCCATGGTGGTAATAGCAGTACCCATTTCAATAGGCTGTTTGGAGTAATAAATGAGATGATGAATTTAAAGTGTTCAGCTCAATGCCTATCACATAGTAAACACTAAACCAATATATTATCATAAGTGTTGCTGGCTGGTGTTTTCCTTTCTAGTGTTTAATCCATAATTATGCTCTTACTGAAAGTTTCCCAACAATCTTATATAGTGCATTCCACACAGCATAAATGCCACTGCACATTCCCCTTACAGCAAAGCTAAATCTATCGCCATCAGACTTGCACACCCTTCTTCCTTGCCGCCCCTCTCCCAAGTCTTAAGATCTGTCTGAATTCTCTCTGCTTTTCTTCTTCCCTCACCCACTTGGGTTTCAGCTTCAAGAGGTTATGGGAGTTATTTTTCCTTCACTTCCACCTGGGACTTCTAGGTCAAGCTTGACTATGGTTAACTTTCTTCTGCCCCCTTTGAGTCTTTAAAAAAATTAATCTTCTCCTTTTCCTTATGTCCCTGAGGCCTTCAACCCTATTCTCCTCACGATTTCATTTCTTTTATCGCTCGGCGCCTCTCTGTGCTCTGGGCAAGGCAAGCAGAGCAGAGGAAGATTTTAGAAGAATGTAAGTATCTGAAGCTGCTGTGACACTGGCCTTAGGGATACTGTACAGCTCTTTGTTCTTGCTTCAGGTGGTGTTTCCTTAGAACAGCCCCATAGAAAGGGTAAGTGGAATTAGGCAGGGACTCGACTCCCAGCACTGTGGCTCGGTGAGGCTGTAGCACTTGGGGCACGCGTCTGTTTCCACATCTGTGGAATGGGAGTCATAGTGAGGCCTGGAGGCTATTGTGATGATCAGGTGGTGCAGCTTGTATAGTGGATGGCCCATAGCAGAGCACAGTGTGACTTCTCCCAGAGCAGTTCTCAACTGTTGGGAAATCCACCTTACGTGCACTGTGTGGGTGAGGTTTTAGATGATGAAACAGTTCATCCTTGAAGATAGTCACATTTAAATAATAAAATGAACAGAGACTAGTAACAATAAAAATGAGTGATAATAGTAGTGTTAAGAAAAATTAAAGCTAAAATGCATTGAGTGTTTACTTCGTGTGAGGCTCTGGGATAAAGAGATACTGTCACTTCCTTTTATAGTTGAGGAAACTGAAGTTCAGAGCTGACCCAGGTCTCATGGCTCCTAAGTAGTACGTGGAGATTTCATGTTGAACTGCAAAGCCTATACGTTTTCTTCTGCTTTTTCACATACACATTGTCCACCATTGTGTGTTTTTCTTGCAGATTCCAAGGATGGTGAAAGTTGTCGAGGAAAGTTCACCTTACTTTAAAGTAATCAGCCCCAAAGATATCGGCCACAAAATAGCTCCGGGAGTGCCAGCTGTATTCCGAGTCCTGTTCACTCCAGAGGAGAACAAGGTAACAGCACCACTGGCAAGAAGCTGGTTGAGTGCTTGTCACTGGCAGTTTGCAATTCTGAATATTCATGGGGGTGGGGGTGGTAGTGCTGTTGGTTATGGTGTTGGTAGTAGCGGTGTAGGTTCAATGATGGCAGTTGTGTTACTGATGGTGGTGTTGATGGTGTTGGTGGTGTCCGTAGTGCGGTGGTGGTGAGAGGAGTGATAAGGATCGGGGAGGACAGGGGATGTCCTACCACTGGGAATGGGTAGAAGATTAGCACGCAGTGCTGAGGGCTTATATGAGCTGTAAGGAGCCAGGGTGTAAAGAAGAGTAATCCTTCTGGAAGCTTCCCACCCCTGGCACTGACCTAGCATATTTATATCTGACTGCATGGCTAGAGGAGCACCAAAAAGGAAAAGGTATGGTCCAAATGCAATGAGCTGAGACAGAGCGTAAAGACTACGGCTTCCTGGCAGTTTGGATGCTAGTTAGATATATCCCTCCTCTCTGGATTCCAACTATTTTAGGAAAGAGGCCCAAAATCTGAATATTGGCCAAGTATCACTCTCATTAACAACAAAAAATGTGGCCGGGATCTGAGGCCCAGAGTGGGCCTCCTTCTGCTCCCCAGTGACTGGTAGGTAGCTAGTCCTCTGGGAAGGGCTGACGGAGCTGTCTGCACGCATGCGCACAACATGGCCGAGAGCAGAGACCTGCCTGGAGTGCCTACTCCTGTCTGCACGCAGGCGGGCTGGGAAGAGCCTGAGTTCAAAGAGAGGCCATGGTGGTGCTGAGGGGCATCGAGCCCATTCTCAGGCTCTCCCCAGTCGTAGAAATTTCATCTCCTCCTGGAAGGAAGGGCCATCTAAGGGGGACTGCTGGGGGAGGCTTCTGTCCCAGTGCTTCTCCAAGAGCATAAAATCACGGGCTCAGTTTTCCTCTGTGTGGTCCACAGGGGGGACGTGTGGGGAGGAGGACAGGGGTTTTGCTAGCCTGCTTGAAGGCATGAGACAAAAAACACAGCTTAACGAAATGTCGGGTTGCGTACAGTGTTACCAGTGTGTGTGCTTATCTGTATTGTGCCATTATGATTGGAGTCAAAAGACCATAATAGAAACAGAGAGAACTACCTTTAAATCTCTGCTTCTCTGTCGCTAATGCTTGTTGGCTGTTGTTAATGCCCATTACCAGTATTCCTGTGGTTAATTGTTAGTGTTTCTGCTTTTCTGGAGAGCAGGGATAGAGAATTGAATGTGGTCAGCCAAACATGTATTCTAACCACTGTAGTGAGTGGTCAGAAATTCCATCGTAATCATACTGTCGTTATTATCTTTCCACTTTGTGGTATTGCTGTTTATTTTCTGAGTTGCATTTATGCACCTGTAATTTTGTTTGGACACTGTTGAAATAAATGAAAGGATAAATAGCTCCAAAGGCAGTTTTTTGGTTTTTTTTGTCATGTGTTGCTGAAATCCTTGTTTTTTTCTCAAGACTGTATCTGAATACTATCTGTGAAGAGAATGGCACCTGGACTTAGTTTGGGTGTCAAATTCCCACAGTCATTTCTGGAGGAAGCTGATTATAAGCCTTTGTGCATCTTGAAATATAAAGGTTGCTGGATTTGAGGAGTTGGAGTCTCTTGATTATTTTGCGTGCTGGAGAAATATGTCTCCTATTGGATAAGTAGGTAGTCTGCAGGTGGTCTTTCGGAAAAACGGAACTTTCTGAGGATGTGGAATGTTCTGTATCATTGATGTGTGGGTTATTTGGATGAATTCATTTGTTAAAATTGTTCATTTAGTATTTATGCTTTACAACATATCTAAATTTTATCTTAAAAAAGCTGTAAAAATACAGTAACAGTGTAGATGAAGCCAGAATGACAGAATGTTAATAATTGTTGAATCTGGGTGACAAGTACATGGGGTTTTATGCTATGTTTTTGTTGTATAGTTTAAATTTTTCCCTAATCAAAAGCTAAAAGTCAATCTCAAACCTTTGATTTTTCCTAAAATAAATCTGGCTCTAGTTATTCCTCTGCTGCATTCTGGAGCAGTACGTCAGGAGGGGGAGCCGACTGAGAAAGGATGACTGTAAGGTGCTGAAATTGGGATTCTCCAGCATGTCCAAGCATCCTCTCCCAGTTTTTCAAAGCTAAGAAAGAGAAAAAGGTTATATTACTGCTTACCTATACTGCAAACAAATAATCAAAATGTATTTTAGGTATGTATGTTAGGTGTTACTTTATAAATAAGCAATGCTAACATTCCTATTGAGGATTATTACCTGGTTATATTTTGTGGCTGCTTGTCTTACTCCTAGCTTTTTCATTCCCTTACCATTTTTCTTTTTCTTACCATATTTGAAAGTCAACAAAGGCTACATGCATGAATGAGTAGACAGAGTGAGAATGACTACCTCTGAGATGTGTATCCAGTTTTGGTGACATTAGTTTTTGTGTTGGATTTGGGCTCTAAGCTATAATAGAATTTACAGAATCACTTTTCTAAGGACATAGTGATTTCTCCTTTTGCTGACAGTCCAAGAGTGATGGTGGGTATTTAGGGAAGCCCCTGCTGCTCGTCTTGGTCCCTTTTCTGCAATGTTCCTGATACCTTGGCACTATCAGCAGGCCCTACTCTCGGTAGTTCTTCCCGTTGTCTGGGTATCTCCATACACTCTTTCTGTTGGGAAGCCAACAGGACCATTCACAGGATGACCAGCTAGAGTCATGCCGTCTTTAGTGCTGTTCCAGAATGCTGCAGAGCAGTAACTTGAACTGGATTTATTTTAGGAAAAATGAAAGTCAATCTTTTCACTGTGTCACTTTTTCTTCCGCTGGCCCAATTGATAGCCGATGTACATATGTATTATTTTTTTCTCCTTATCCCCTGCTGATCTGAGCACACTCCATTCTCATTTACCCTCCTCACATCTGCAGGGTGAGATATGGAAATTGCAGCATGCCACAGCTTAATAAACCAGTCCCCTTTCAATTGGATTTTCAGCACCCGTGTATATTAGCATGTCCAAGATGATAATGTAATTTACATTTTTCCTGTCATCTATTAATCTGGCTTCCTGGGGGTTTAACTCATTAAGAATGCCAAGTAACAGGTGCAGTGAATTCACTTTGGCTTTCCTTATCTCTGCTTTTCATACAGGCTTTGAACAAAAAAGTTTGGATATATTATAAATCTAATAATTCTAGTGAATATGTCATGTGTGGTAGAAATATCATAGTCAATGTTATCATCACACTATGAAATTCTGGAACCTGGCATTTTTCTTGACCTCTTAAATTTGTATTTTTACTATTAAAAGGAGTATGAAAAATATTAGGCTTTTGTAGGAAAACAAAACTGGATACTTCGTTGGATTGAGAAAGCATCCCTTTACTAGAGAGTTGTCATATGGAAATGGCAGCAGTGGTTTGAAGGAAATAAGAAGTGATACACTCTGCCACATGAGGTGACATTGAGGATGGAAGGTACGTTAGAACGGGAAAGCAGAGGTTTAGGAATTTGGGTCTTTCATAACACTGTGGAGCCACCATACCAACCTGGCATGCCTACCTCTGGACTTCTTTCTGGAAGAGAAATAAGCTATCTGCCTAGTTTAAGTTGTTTTTATTTTGTTCTGTTCCCTGTTACATGTAGCAGGACCAAAGGGACAAGAGGCTACTATAATGGTTTGGGTAAAAGACTAGGATGAATTGGACTAGGGTGGTGACAGTGAAGGTGATGAGAGTGGTTGGATTGGGACATGTATTTTTATGGTAGAGCTGTCAGAATTCAGAATTTGCTGATGGATTGGATAAAGCATGCGAGAAAGAAAGGAGTCTAGTTTGATTCATGGTCTTTGGCCAGCAACTGACCAAGTGTTATCACCATTTACTGAGGTAGGGAACAGAGGAAGAAAAGCGGATTTGTGAGGCTGGGGGGTGGGCAAGGTAGGGAATCCAGAGGCCTTTTTTTCGTACGTTAAGTTTGAATTTCCCTTTAGATATCCACATAGAAATGTCAAGTAGCAGTTAGACACAATTATCTGTTGTAAAAGGGAAATACTGGGGCTAGAGACAGATACTGGAAACCATTAAAGATGGCAGTTTCCACCAGGGGGTAAAGGAGATGATGTTGGGAGCATGTGTGGATAAAGAGGAGGTTGGGCAGAGGAAGAGATGCCAGCAGAGGATGACACTAAGAGAGGGTCTTCAGGAAGTGGGAGGAGATCTGGAGATGGCTGTGCTCTGGGATCCAAATGGATGAAGTGTTTCAAAAAGGAGGGAGAGATCAACAGTGTGCAAAGCTATGGAAAGTAGAATAAAATGAAGATGTGGAATTAGCCACTGGATTTGGCAAAGCCATTAGCGACTTTGGTGAGAAGAGTTTTTGTGGAATGTTGGGTACGGAAGCGTGATGGGTGGGTTGAAGGGAGAATGAAAGTGTGGGGGTGGTGACTGATCAGTTGTGTTTCAGATCTGATTAAGACTTCAGTGCTCATACTTCCCACTGAGGCGCAAATTTCAGATTGAGAAGATACTGTATAATAAATACTTTCAACTGGTTAGGGAATTGATAACATTTTTCAGGAGCACTGAGTATTAAATTCACTGACTCCCTAATCAGATCAAGTTTTATTCTGTTAGCCATTTCTCCATCAAGTTTAGGAGTGGAGAAAAGGCAGAAAGAGGGCTTCCCACCTTGGCCAGCTTGCCCTTGAATGCCTTGAAAAGTATTTGCTGCAGTAGAAGGTATAATTTTCCTTCGCTTCAGACTTGAAAGGATAGAATTATTGCCATGTTTGCTTTCTATCATGGAGCTGGTGTAAAATCAAGATTCATTCTTTTCACTTTTCAGAAAGACAAATCTACCATTTTCATATTCTACTTTTTCTTTTTCTAAGTTTGCAAGGAAGGCTAAAGGGACAAAAAATGGATTGGAGGTTTCATCTGGAGAGCATTGTCATAGGGGATAACATTATAGCTATATAATTCATATAGATATAATTCATAGCTAAAATTCTGATAGAAGAGGGGAAAAGTCTCCAAATAAATATCTGGGCTCTGAACAGTGGCTTGCCTACTCTGAATCTAAGTAGTCTGAAGGGAGTATATTGCTTAGCTGACAAAGCCTCCCCAGTCGTAACATCTGAACTAATTTTAAGCCCGTGAGCAATACATAATTTTTTATTGAATAATCTAATATAGTCATTAAATCCAGAGCTTCGGAGATTAGAATATGTTGTTAGGGAGTTGTTTAAAGAACTTCTTCATATTCTTTTATGAATTTGTGAATTTATTATGAAAAAAATATATAATTCTGATCAAACTTCAAATCTTCCCAGTATGGAAATTTGAATAGGTTTGAAAGTATCCCTGTGAATATTTCCATCAGCCTCCTAAACTATTTTAAGCTGTTTGCAACTCTTTATAGAACAAGGCAGAGAGTATGTAAATCTAGAATAAAGACAAATTTCTCTTGGCCTGGATTCAGCAGCATCTTTTGTTCTTTCTCTGAAAGCCTCAGCTAACAGTGAGCCCCCACATGTGCGGGAGCCCCCCAGGTTCTCATTCCCAACAAAACCTTTGCTTGCTGGGTTCAATCTCCTAAGAAAACATGAAAATAGTACTTATCTCTTTAGGATTCTGATATAATCAGACTAGACTGTTTCATTGTTGAATTCTGTGGGGTTTTCTAGGATCAAATATGCTTAGTGTAATTTATACTTCCTTATGTCTGAGTAGTCTGATTTTTGAGCCTGGCGATACCATCTAGAAACTAGAATCAATCAGAGAGCTGAGTCTAACAACTCAATTTTAATGAATTTCATGAATATTGTCCATGAAGTTTTATTATTTGTTCCGACCTTAGGACTTTTACCTTTGTAATCCCCCTTGCCAGAACACTCCATTCCCAGGTCTGGCCTGACTAGCTCCTTATGCAGTTCAGGTCTCCATGCACAAAGGTCACCTCCTCAGGGAGGCCTCCTTGGCTGTTCTGACCTAAAGCAGCCCCTGCCTGCATTAGCACTTTACCGTGTTTTATTTTCTTCAAAGCCCTGTTGTTTTCTGAAATTGTCTTATTCTATTGTTATCATTATCGGGTTTATCATTATTAGTATTCCAACAATACGAGTAAGCACAAGTTGAGTTTTTCCTATATGCCTTACCCAAATCATTGAATTTAATACAACATTTTAATAATGACAGCTAACACACTGATTGAGGGTTTTTTGCTTGCAAATCCTAGGCTCAGCATTTACCGTCCTAGGCAAGTTGATGTCATCTCTTGCCTGGACTACTGCAATGGTTTCCTAACTGGCTTCCCTTTTCCCATTTTAGCCTCCTTACAGTTTTTTGCCCCCATAGCAGCTAGTGATTTTCCTAAAACATAAATCAACTGCATCGTGATCACCTTTTGGCATCATGAATGCTTTTGGCCAGTTTAGCCTAACAATGGCTTACAAGATGCTGTGTGATCTGGCCTCCCACAATATCCCTGCTGTAGCTCTAATCTCTCCTTAACTTGTTCCTCTCTGTCCACGGGTTCCAAATCACACTTCCCCAGATTGCCACCCACCCACATGGCTTCCCTTTTTACTTCCCTCAGGTCTCTGCTGAAACGTCACCTCCTCAGAGAGGCCTTTCCCAGCCACCCTATGTGAAAGAGCACCCCACTCACTCTCTTTCCCCTTGTCAGGCTTTATTTTTCTTCACTCACCACCACCCAACATTACATCACTCATTTTCCTGCATTCAGCAACTATTTTGGGAATGTTTGCTAAGTACTAGGTCCTTTTCTCGGCACTGGATATACAGAGCAGACCTTGGGCAGAATCTCTGCTGACTGGGAGCTATTGACGGAGGCATGTGATAGACTGAGTAAAAAGGTGAATACATGCCATTATTTGCTGGCTTTGGAGAAAACTAAAGAAGGACCAAAGGCTAGGGAGTGATGGGAGGAGCTACGTTTAAAATAGGGCATTTGGGGGAGGTGTCAGAGAGAGTAGGACTGTGCAATGTCCTAAGGGAGGCGAGCGAGCTATGGGAATGACTAGAGGGAAGCATGTGCTGGGCAGATGGAACATCCTGTTTGAGGCCTCTGAAGCAGGAGCAGTTCCAGCATGCTCAGGGGGTAGCAAGGACGCCGGCACCTGGAGCAGATGAGTTAGCTGGAGAGGAAATGTGGCCAGAGAAATGACAGGGTACCAGACCACAGCACTCATGAGCCGCCCAGCTCTCAGCTTGTAGGATTTTGAACAGAGGAGCAACCTGAGCTGACTTACATTTTAACTGGATCCCTTTGGCCCTTGTGTGGAGAACAGACTTTAGGGGGCCAAGGGTTCAACTAGAGTCCGGTTAGCCTGGAAAAATTGGAGTGCCAGGGTGGCAGGGTGGAAATGGCGAGAAGTGATCAGGGTCTGGATGTATTTTGGAGGTCAGTCCTACAGGATTTACTAACAAATTGGGAAATTAAGCAATCGAGGATGCCTCCTTCCAAGGTTTTCCATCCAGGCCACTGAAAAGATGGAGATGCCAGTACCAAGACCGGGAAGCAGTAAGGAACAGATTTGGGGGGAAGAGTAGGTCATCTGCAGGGCCATGGCCAGCATTCCAGAGCCTTTGTGGGCATGAAGACAAAGCTCCCACTCTGGGCTGATGCTGTTGGAAATAGCAGAGCGGGCTGAGCTTTAGCCCCCATTCCTTCCCCTCCACGGGGCATTCTTTATGCACAGCTACAGGCAGTGGCATTACCCAGGGCTTAGGTTTGGGATGTGGTAAGTTTGTCTGCAGTGAGATGCTGACTGGGCAGCTGAGTCTCAGCATGGAGTTCAGGGAGGCAGAGAGACTACAGGTGTACAGACTCTGTCCTGGGATCGTTCCTGCTGTTGTATTTTAATGCCTATTTATATATGTTTTACATTGTATATTAGATATACTTTATTTACCTTTTCATTGCATTCTCCATCATTATGCAACATCATTAAAGAACTCCTTATGTAAACTCGAAGTGGTCCACGTCTGTGTTTCTTACTCGTTCGCATTCCCAGACCTAGCTCAGTGCCTGGCATCTGAATACTTAATGAGCATGGTTGAATGAATAAACGAATGCGGGTTACCACCGCTTTGTACCTGCCTTGCGGGTTTCATAAAATTGAGTGCATGGCCAGGTCTGTATGACATTCTGTGTGTCAGACATCCCCATTCCTTTGTATGCCTAGAGCCCAAAGAGTTTTTTTAAATCTCCATCTCTTAATACTGTTTACTATACAATTGTCAAAAGGAAATTTAAGTTCAAAGTGCACTTTACATTTATCAAGACTGCCTTGCAGCTAAAATGATGGGAAAACTTAAAATGAAGAAAAATAAACCTGTTTTAAATAACAAATTCTCTTCATAGCAACTTCTGGGCTCCTGGCCTATTGTATAGGGACTGTTAATACTTTCCTTTTACATTTAGCTTTGCTTGTTAGTGAGGGTTTTATTTTTTTTTTTAGATTTTCTTTGCTACGTTGAGGAACTCTTTCAAATTCTATTTTCCTATCTTATGAAAAGACATAAAGAGTGACTTAATTCAGCATTTCCTTGCATTTAGACTGGGGGAGTCTAGGACCTCATAATTTCTACTTAGAATGGCTTTGTGATTCTAATATCTAATGTAAAGTGATGGCTTTGCCCAGGAGGTGAGCTTTAAAGTGGGCTATGTATCAACTAGCTATTGTTGTATAATAACAGACCAAATTAAATGACTTAAAATAATAAACATATGGCTCTACAGACTCTGGCTCCTCTGGTCTTGTTTGGGCCCGCTCACGCGTCAGGCTGGCACCTCTGCTCATCTTGGCTGGGCTTGCTCACATGTGTGGGACTGCAGGCCGGTCTGGCGTGGTGCTGGCTGGGACATCTGGGCTCTCATCCTGCAGTAATCTAGACAAGGCTTATTCACATGGCAGTGGCAGGGTTCAAAGAGCAATACCAGAAATGTCCAAGGCTTCTCAAGGCCTCAGGTTGGCACTGGCATAGCTTAACTTCTGCTGCATTCTATTGGGCAGAGCATGGGATGGAGAAGTAGACTCCACTCAGGATGGGGAAACTGCAAGGGCACATTACAAAGATGGTGGCCACAGAGAGACCACTGATTGGAGCCATCAATCTAACACATGGGCTTGAAGGATCGATAGGTAGGGTTTAGAAGGAGGAGGTGAAGGAATTGGTGTGAACCTCTGATCTAAAGGAAAATATACCTTGACTGTCCCCCATCCCACCTCCCCTAATATCTGGGAAACACATGAAGCATCAGTGTCACTACTGGCTTGTAGGTTTTAACATGAGAACTGTTCTCTCTCTCTCAGAAAAGAGTATCCCATTCAAAGTACATCTATAACTGTCTTGAGATGGTTTTATGGAATACTTCAGGTTGTTTTGCAAGACATCTGGTGTATGGCCATATTTCTTGCACAGTTATCTTCATCATGTTGGTGTTGCCACAAATAACGATTGCGCCCCTCTCTTGTAGGATTACGCCCATATGTTGACCTGCGTAACTGAGAGAGAAAAGTTCATTGTCCCTATCAGAGCCAGAGGTGCACGAGCCATCCTAGATTTTCCCGACAAGCTGAATTTTTCTACCTGTCCTGTCAAATACAGCACTCAGAAGATTCTGCTGGTGCGCAACATTGGCAACAAAGACGCTGTGTTTCGCAGCCAAACTGATAGGTATGTGTTCCTTTGGCTCTTGTGTTTGATGGATTATAGCTAAATCTAGTCAGCATAGTTGACTAGAATACCTGTCAGGGTGGAGCTTCTTGTTACAATATTCAGTTGTGAAACTAAGAAACCCCACTAGTGTGGGGCAGACTCCCTCTTCATCCCAAGAGGAAACCAAAACTCAAGGTTGCCTGAGTAACCTTGTGTTTGGAAGTGGCTGGTTTGGGTATGGATGGTTTCCTGAAATGCTGGATAAAATTCTATTGAGCAAAAAGAATGGCCCATGGGAATCTATTAATAAATATATTTGTTTTGACTGAGACTTTTATAACTGGCTATATTCATTTTCTGTTGCTATTGTAACAAATTACCATGAGCTTCGTGGCTTAAAACAACACAAACCTATTATTCGACATTTTAGTAGGTCAGAAACCTCACTGGGCTAAAATCAAAGCGTCAGCAAGGCGGTGTTCACTTCTGGAGGCTTGAGGGAGAGGCCATTTCTTTGCCTTTTGTAGCATCTAGGGGCTGCCCACATTTCTTGCCTCATGTACCACATTCCTTGGCTGAAAAGTGGGAAAAAGTATAGCAGCCACTTTATAAGGTTGTTGTGAGGAATAAATTAATTAATAGATGTAAACTGCTGGTATGTTGCAAGTACTATATAATAAGTGGAGTTTTTTGTTTGTTTCTTCAGATAAGTCACTGCCAGTGTGGTAGGCAGAATAACGTCTCCCCAAGTATGCCCACGTCCTAACCCCCAGAACCTGTGAATGTGTAATGTTACCAGGCAAAGGGAGGCAAAGGGAGGTGACGGTTGCCGATCAGTTGACCTTAAAATAGGGAGATTATCCTGGATTATCTGGTGGGCCCAATGTAATCACAAAGGCCTTTAAAAATAGAAGAGGGAGGAAAATTAGAGTTCAGAGTGGCAAGATATGAGTAGATAGAATTCAACCTGCTGTTTGTGGCTCTGAATATGTGAAAATCGAGCCATAGAGAGGTTGTATAACTTCTCAAGAGCATGTAGCTGATGGAGTGAGTGGCTACAGCATAGTAGACACATGGGGTAATACAAAGGATGATGAGACAGTCCTTGCTTTCAAGGAGCTCTCTTACCATATGAGAAATGGCTGTTACAGGCCATGAGAATGGTGGCTGATGGGAGGGGCCATAACAAGAATGACCAGCTTGGGAAGACAGGAAGCAGAGTGTCAGGTTCTTTTCTATGGTTTCTTCAAAACTAGTGTGTATATATCTGTCTGGATTGTGAACTCATTTTCAGAAGGGTTTATCTGTGGAATCCTTTGCTGGCTTAAAGATACATCCATCCAGAAAAGATTCACACTTGCTTCTGGCTGGTTCCCAAAGGTTAGACGGCATAGACTACTCTTCTGGTAATTTCTTGGCTTTGGAGTTCCCAGACTGAGAGTGTATATTCAAACCCCAAACCTGCATAAGACACACGTCTGAAGTTGTGAGCAACTGAAAAGCAACACAGACATTTTTCCTTGTGCTGATGGAACAATGTTGGGTAGCCCTTCAAGGTTCCTGGGTTCATATGGGGGTTTTATTGCCAGTGCCCTAACTTGAGAATCCCAAGGTCTTGTCTCTTGTTCTGACAGGGCTGTTAAAACCCAGGCTTCAGGGTTATCGAGAATCCAGTGCAGACCCAGCATTAGCTTAGGCTTGCTGCTCTGGTTCCTCTTTGTTTTTAAATCCCAGGGCTTTGCCCCCTACCCTTTTTTTTTTTTTGGCACGCTCAGCTGTACATTTATGTTAAGTTATATTTTATCCAGTCTTTCTAGGTATTTTCTGGTGGAAGAGTTTTCCACCAAAAATAATATAATATTGTCTGTCATATTATAGGTAGTAGGGCTGCCATAATGCCGGGTGAGGGCACATCCCTTGGGATTTGTGTTTATTCTCCCCAAGAATGTCCCAGGAACATCTCTCTCAACCATTTCATGGAGATCCAGGTTTCTGTCGGGTATTCTATTTCTCCTGGCTGAATATGTACTATTTCTTGTAGCACTGTTCTACTGGAAATTCTCTTAGTTTTGAGTATTTGAAAAAAAGTATTTTGCCTTCATTTTTGAAAGTTATTTTCTCTACAGTATAGAATTCTGGATTGGTAGTTGTATATGTACATATTTTTCCAGTACTTGAAAGATGTCACATCACTGTCTTTGGCTTTTCTTTTTCTTATGAGAATGCTGCTGTAGCTCTTCTCTTTGTCCCTCAGTATGTCTTTTTCTTGGGCTGCCTTTAAGATTTTGTCTTTATATTTGTTTGGCTTTTAGGAATTTGAGTAAGATGTGTCTAGGTGTGGGTTTTGTTTTGCCTTTCTTTAGTATTGGTTTTAATCCTGCATGAGGCTCTGAGCTTCCTAGATTTTCCATTATTTTTGGAAAATCTCAGCCTTTATCTCTTCAAACATTTCTTCTGCTCCATCCTCTCTCACTGTTTCTTCTACCCGTGGGGAGATTGTCTGCTGCACGTGAAGCGGTCTGCACGTTTCCCATTTCTCTTGGGAGCAGGGGGATTATCCATCTTTGGACTGCAGGCTACTTGCTTACCCTACAACCCTAGCTCTCTAGGTGGGTTCGAGAAAAGTTATGATTTTGTTGTTTATCTGACTTCTTTTCATTGGTAGGATGGGAGAGACACTTTCCAGCTTTCTGCATCCCAGATAGAAGTAAAACTCTTGGAACTAATTTAGCTGAGTCACCCATCAAAGGCAAAGAGCAAGTTCTTTGGAAAATCGTGTCTCCTGACGTGGCCCACGAGTGCCTAGGCAGCCTTTGTTTGTTATCTTGTGGTGAGATGACAATGTTTTGACTGAAGGAGAAGGAAGCAGGCTGTTCAACTGCCTTACCATGACTTAGAAAGAGCCAGGCTTTTTTATTTAAAAAAGGTGTCCCACAACACTATCCATAATACACATTAAAAACTTCCTGTTACATTTTTGTTTTTTCTATGAAAAAGATAGTCCACCTAAGGTGAAACAGCAAGTACAGGGAGCATATCTTCCTGGACTATTTGGCCAAGTCTTAAAAACTACACTTAAATGGCTATTTCTTACATATTACAGTCATGTAAAAGTGAAACAAAATCACTTTACAGATTTAACAGTGTGAAGTTGAAGGAAAAGATCTAAAACTTTTCTCTCCATGTAACTATAAATGTGAGCCATCTTCTCCTAACAGAGAAATACTTCTAGGGCTAACTGGTGGGCCAACGCAAGGACTAGCCAGGAATCATAAAGACATTAGAAACTAGTCCAACATTCCCATTTTACAGAAGAAGGAAATAAGGTCTGAGAGGAGAAATGGCTTCTCCAAGTTCCCCTAGGTAAGTTAATAGCAAAACTTGGATTAAAACCAACAAGGGCCAGTTCTGGGCTTGCTTAGCTTCAGACCCATTCATTGCCCTTCCCCTGCTCTGCTCAGTATCTCCGTGTGGTTTGTTAGTCTTCCTGCCTCCAGGTCGGCTGAATTCCAGCTGGGTTTGATGGTGGGGGCCCTGGAGGAAGATGAGGGGGCAGCAAGAAGCCAGGGCATTTCTCCTCCTTCCTCTTTGACTTCAGTAGAGTCCCCAGTAGTGGCTCCATCTCCTCTGTGGTTCTAACTCCTGTCGGACTAACCTGCCCTTGCTCCACCAGGTCCCCAGGATCTGATACCACTTCCTCTCCTTGTGTCTCTAGCCCAGGAATGGAAATGGCTTCCTGAGCCATTTTCTATTCTCTGAGCTCTCTCTCTCTTAAATTGGGTTTCTCATCTCTCATCTTCCCATTATCTGTGTAATCAAGTCTCTTAATTAAATTCCCAGTTTGCAAATATTTTTGTTTTCCTGTTTAGACTCTGCACGAAAAGTAGTTTTATATTCCTTCCACAAAAATGCATGTTTTCCAAACATGCCACCAATTCTTTGAGCCAGATCCTTCCCAAAATATCCTTTTCTGTTTAAGTTAGCCAGAGTTGGTTTTGGTCATACAATTGCTACAATGAGAAAGGATATGATTGAATTTGTGGTTACATTGTATTGAGTCAGAATCTTTGGGGAGTCAGAATCTTTGGGGAGATCCCCTGACATGTATCCATTCTAAAAAATGTGCAGCTTGTTGTGTTGCCCAGACAGGGTTGAGGACTAAAATGATTGTCAATAGACCAGGTAGAGCAATGGAAATATTTTGAGAATTTGGAGGAAAAAACCCAGTGTCTACTCTTGGTCTTCCCACTTTTAGAGTCAATATACAGTTAGGAACAATATCACACAAGAAAATGTTTTAAAACACAAATCATATTCTTTTCACTGAAATGATGATTAATGGTTAAGTTTATAAATGGTCAATTTCATATAAATTATAAAAATTAAAACGTTCTGTACGTGTTCCCCCCATTAGAATGTGAGCTTCTCAAATGCAATGACTGCATCTAACTCTTCATTTGTGTGTCCCCAGCATCTAGCAAAGTGTCTAGAATAAATAAGTGCTCAATAAATGTTTATGGGATGCTTAACCAACAATATATCACAAAGGCAAAGCTACAGCTCTAAGCCACTACAATAATTTAAAATAAAAAGACATGCTCAGAATACTGTAAAATAGGCATAATGTTTTTTACACTAATGAAAGGAACCACAATGTGCTATATAAAGTCTACAGAGAACATAAACAATTATACTTCAACTATATTACAGATTTGACCTAAAACTCTGGTAGGTACCAAATAACTAACTATGAAAGTAGGATTAATTTTGGAAGATGAAAAAGATGAGATTAAGAAGCAATTTCAAAATCTAAAACCTCAAGTTAGGAATCAATTAATAAGAAAGATTATCTGAACAAAAATACTAATATTATGTTCAGTATTTAATATTTCAATATTTAATATAACAGAACCAATATTTAGTCTTCTGGTAAAATATTGAATTACATGGATGGAATAGTTTTAGTCCTTAAGAACCATCTGCAGTGGATTGAACAAAACCCCAAAATCCCTCTTCGTGCCTCATGATTTTCCACAAACCGGAGTTCCTTCCCTAATCAAGTATTCGGTATTAGCAAGGATGTAATATCAAAACCAAACATTTTGGCAGACAGAGCCAGCCTTATACCCTTGAGGAATAATACCTTTTACTTCTCTGGAAGAGCATTTTCTGCTACTTGATATTTTCTTGCCTCTTCAGCCTGTCTGACTTTAGTAAAATGAAGTACAAAATCAAATTATAGGCAGTGTTTAAGCACCCGAACTTAACATACTCTGCCCAATTAATGTCTGATTTATTGAGAAAGCTTGGGCATCTCTAAGCAGCAATGGCTATTCCAAGCAATTTTCTAACTACTGAAGAAATTTAATGTAATATAAACCCAGCAATTAGCACAATAGGAAAGTATCAGTTACCTCTGAGTGGAATTTGGATTTTCAGAGGTCCTAGAGAAGGGTCACTTTGTCCACAGAAAATTGGCTTAGGTTTTGCAATTTAATACTATCCAATTCATTTAAAACCTGTTCTTTTGCTACCAGGAAATGTTTGAAAAGAAAAATGAAAGCACAGTGTAGGAAGAAAAATATTTGGAGCTAAGGAGTCAAAGATAGAAGAAAATATTACAGCGTTGTTCCCAAAGCTAGGGAACTGGGCCTGGTTCTCAGCTCTTCAGATTATTACTGAGACCATTAGCAGGAAGGGTCTTCTAAGGCTGGGAGACTCATCTTCGTCTCCCACGCAGCAGAGATTCTTGAGATACTGAAAAGTCTGCTCCTTTTCTGTTCCTCCAGGATGTTACAAAGATTAATTAGTGATTACAGATATTTTTATTTCCCTCTGAAAATGGATTGTAATTCAACAGCCTCTTCTGAGAGGCTCCTGTGAGATGCAGAGAGGGAGAGTCATTGGCTTCCACCCTCAGGGGTGATTTGGGGTTGGCAGAAAGAACCTGAACTTGAAGGCAGGCTTCCATCCCCGCTCCACTTCTACCTAGTCGGGTAACTTTGGGCCAGTTGCCTGCCCTTTTGGAGCATCTGTTTTCTCATGTCTAAAATGCAAATAACAATACCTACTCTCTCAAGGATTTTTCAAGGATTAAAATAATTGACACATGTCAAGCAGCCGTCACAGAGTACACGCTCGTGCAAGTTTGTTTGCTTTCCCTTCCTTTCATCTCAAGAGAGTCTCTAGCTATTGAGAGAGGCAGGCATGAAAACTAACTATAGTCCAAGGCGAACCAGAGTGAGAAGTAAAAAGAAAGTTGTAGCCTCTGAGAGGAAGGAGACATTTTTATTAACAAGAGGGAGGATCGGCAAAGCCCCTGTTGAGGTGACACTGAGTCTGGGTTGTGACAGATGACTTTGGAAGGAGTGCGACATGGAGAAAGTGGTGAGTATTCCTGTGCAAGCCTAGCAATTTTGGGATGTCTGCGGGGCGAGGGGCACGGTCTAGTTGGAAGGGAAAAGTGCAGTGCTAGGGGGACTATGAGTGGGAGATGAAAGCCCTCCCTCCCCCCCTCCCACGCCCCTGCCCAACTTGGACTGTGACAGGAGTATGGGACATTTGGACAGATATATGTGTTTAATGAGAATGCAAAACTGGTTGGGAGCAGACTGTGTGGGACCTCGAATACCTAGAACTTGGAACTTAATTACACAGATTATGAGGATCTCTGAAGGTGTTTCAACAAGATTGTGTTATGACCTGTGTGTGGTTTTTACAGTATCTCTAGAGCCATGTGAAAGATTGAGAGGAGAATGATAAAACCTTAAACTCCTCTAAACGCCCAAGAGCATCCTCAGGCTTGTCTTCTACCTACAGGCTGCCAGTGCAGGGGATACCGTAATGATAACAAAAACAGTAATAAACACTTTTTGAGCACTTCCTATGTGCCAGGCATTATTTTAAGCACTTTAGCTATATCGACTCTTGTAGTCCTCACTACAATTCTGTGATGTAGGTGCTGTCATTGCCCTCATTTTACAGATGAGACTGAAGTTTCACTGACTTGCCCAAGGTCATGGCAGAGCTGGGCTTTGAACTTAGTCAGCTGGCACCAGGCTCATAAGCCCTGCCCCATGGTGGACGTACAGCAATGCCAGAGGTTCGTTGGAGGATTGGTACTGTAGGTATGGGAGAAGGACAGACAAAGGAATAGGAAATCAAGAGGTGAAAGGAGAGGGAGGTCCAGATAGCACCACAGAAAATGAACAATTGCCCATGGCAGGATGCGCTAAAGATCGTGCGGCAACATTCTCAGGCACCACCCAGTGCAACCCTTGTCATAAGCTTGGTACCCTCACAAGAGAAAGCTTAGGTTTTCTGGAATTATGTTCATTATCTAAAGGAAGATTTAAGAAATGAAGACTCTACAAATGGTTGTGATATAAGTAAATAATCAGAAACAGCTTAGCCTGCCAGATACATTGTACAATGCATTACTTTGAAAAACTGGTGATTCAAAAAAGTGAAATGGGCCATGAAAATAATTGAATGGGCTGGGTTTCCTCTTTAGAAGGAAGAACTCTACAAGTTACTTAAGGTGCTTCATGATCAGATCCAACTTCTCTCTTATTACTCCCTTCCAGGGTAACAAAATGAAACTAAAGCTACCCTGTCTCCCCGTAATGTCTATGTACCCAAATTCTATTTTCAAGAGACAGAACTTGAACCCAGTTTGCCTTTCTAAATGCTCTCCACCCTTCTCCTACTTGCTCCTGCCCTGGAGGCTGACCTTGTGGCATAGGACAACAGGCTCCCATGCCTTTGGCTTCTGGTTGGGTTCAGCCAAAAGGAGACGCAGCGGGCAATCAGATAGGGAGATGTGAGGGCAGAACACTTGTCTTCCCTGCGAGGCCACCTAGGTTAGCTTTCTCTCTTGACTAAAGCTCCCTGCCCCTCATAGGCAGCGTTTTCTTAGGATTCTTGTGGGTTTCAAAACCACTCCTTCTCCTTGGCTCTTTGGGCCTAGAAATGGTAACAGCTCCACTGTTAATAACCCTTGGCTTTTGTATTATCTCTTGTAGTTCCCTTATTGCCCCTTCTTCCCCCTTCTAAAAAGACCCTCAAATTATTTGTTTAATTGCCCTCAAATTATCCTCATGTGATTGTGCAATCACTTTCCTTTTGGGACTCATATATTTTTCTCTTCTTCTCTAAACTCCCCAAAAACTTGATTTTTATCCTTGCAAAGGTACTGTTCTTTTGCAAATTACAGTATTTGCATACATGTTGTTAAGTCCATCCCTTACTGGAGTCACTCAATGGATGTTAAAAGAAGGGCTAAATGTCAAGGACACAAACAAGAATATTATTGCATCATTTAAGTTCCTCCTACACTTGCTGATCTATTTCTGTTTTTGTAACATTAAAACTGAAGTTCTTTCACATTACGGGAAAGTAAACTTTACTCCTGAATCTCTGGATTGTAGTGTCAGGTCTGAGCTGTTTGCAGAACTAGAACTCATGTAACCTCTCCTCCCTCACAATAGTCGGGAATATGTTCTGATAATGTGTCTCCACGTGTTTTACAGGCCTTTCTCTGTAGAGCCACCTGTTGGAACTCTCAGTGTGGGAGAGTCCATGCAACTGGAAGTGGAGTTTGAACCACAGACTGTGGGCAACCACAGCAAAAGACTTATTGTGTACTATGACACAGGTATGCATTATTCTTTGTTGAGAAAGGTCAGATGGAAACTATGATGAGCAAAACAGGAAATGATTTTTTTGACTGCATAAGATCCACAAGATAAAGAACCAAAGAATGAATGCCTCCAAAAGAAATAACGTTGAGGCAGATATAAATCCCTCCAGTGCTTGAAAGCCTGAGAAATACAGAGTTCAGTAAGGAACCTGTACCCAGAAGACACACTGGTCATTTGAGGTTATTTATATGTAAATGCAACTTGAAGGTAACTTAATACCCATAGGTTTTCCATTTTGATTTATTACTGCATTCGCCTAACATTTTAAAAATGTTAACCCCAGTTCAGAATATTCTTGTGTGTGCCCACTAGGCCATTAAAGACCCAGCTACTTTAATCCTTAGAATGTGCAAACATCTTACTTAAATATAGGACAGTGTCTATTGCCACTAGCATTTTCTTGAAGGCCATTCCCTGAATAATCATGAAAATTATACAGTGTTTTTACAAATACTTAATTTGTAGTCATGTAGACTGCATGTACATTATACAAGTCTCTGAACTTGGTTTTCAAATTAGTATTTACTGTTGCCATTTATTATTTCATGATTTTTCTCATTTCCTTCTCACTTCTTTTTTACCTATTCATGCTGATTGGCCCAGATTACCTGCATTATGAGAGTATTAGAGGTTCCCAGCCAGGAAAAGAACAGCAAATCACACTAGGTCACAGTTCAGAGTTGCTGGCTTTGTGGATGTGTATCTGAGCAGGACAATTCAAGCCATGCCTAAGGACTGTGTGAAGTGGGCCCAGCTCCACATTGCCCAGACTGACAGCAGTACAAAACTGGTGGCACAGTCTGTGTTTCTTATCTTTTAATATTGATCATAATTCACTGGCTGCTACCTGCCTTAGCTTAGCAAAGTGGGGAGAAGTTTTGGCCCACATAACACAACAGTGGGAGATAAAAGCACAGCTTGTAACACGTCAATTTTCCAAAATAGTTGTGCCATTTTATACACCTTTTCAAGACACAGTATCTGATAATTCAAATATATTAAGTCTGCTTATTTATTAATTTAGTTAGTTTGCTGTTTATTATTTTGGATGGTTTTCAACCATGGTATTTATAGGGCAGGAACCATATCTTTCTGTCCTCTGTTTTTCTAGTCTCTTGGCTGGGGCTCCTGTAATAAAAGACAGATTAAAAAGAGAGAAACACATTTATTTAATATAAGTTTTATGTGACCCAGGAGCCTTCATAAAGAAATGAAGACCTGAAGAAGTGATTAAACCTGAGAGTTCTTATGCTAGGTTTGATGAAAAGTGGGGAGTCGTGGAGGAACGTGATAGGGCATGAAAGGGTGCGAGCTGAGTGCAGCACAATGCAGGAAACAGCAAGGCCTGTTCCTTCACCTCCCTCAGTGCCCCTCCGTCTTTGCAAATAAGGAAGCTCCTTTGACCAAGTAGAGGAGGGCACCTCGCACATGAGGGTCTTACGACCCACTTCAGGGGAAGGTCAGAAAATACTTCTTGCATCTGCCATTTCTCAAATCCCTTCAGCTTTAAATATTCATTATGCCAATGTGCTGTATTTTGGGGTAGTATGTCCTGAATCCCATCTTTTCTTATGCCCGTCTGTCTTTTGTAAATTTTGGGTTTAGCATCCCCACTTTGGGTGGGTCCTGGACTTGATCTTCTATTCTAGACACACAATGTAATCACTGAAGCAAAATTTCAAGGGTTAACAAAAGCCACTAGCACAAAAGACAGCCTTAGCACTACACTATTCCCTCCTATTCTTCACTTCACTTTTATGTCCTTATTTTCCTGTATTAGTGATGAATTTAAAAGTAATCTAAAAATATTTTATTGAGTACCTTAGTTATTTCAATCTCCGTTTAATTTGCTGACTCTAACTTGTCATTTTCTCATTGTTCAGCATCATTTTTTAGAATAGTTCATCCTTTGCCACAACTTTATAATCCTCTCTACATGTCATATCATAAAATATAGCTTATCCTTCCACGTATTTAGATTTTCTTTAATTTCTCTCACCAGTAGTTTTCTGAGTAGCAGCCTTTAACATTGTAGTTAGATGTATTCCTGTATACACTTGGACAAGTGTAAGCTGCCACCCTGCTCCAAGTATAGAACATCTTTTATCTCAGGAAGTTCTTCAGGTCCCTTTCCAGTCAATCCCTCCATCCCCCATCCTAGAGAGTCTATCGCCCTGTATTTCTTCGTTCTTGGACTTCAACTAAATGTATTCATACAGTATATACTCAGTGTCTGGCTTCTTTCACTCAGCATAATGTTTTTGAGATGTATTCATTTTGTTATCTGTATCAATAATTCCTTTTTCACTCCTGAGCAGTATCCCATGTGTGGTTATACATAGTTTATTCATTCTCCTGTTAATGTAACTTTGGATTGTTTAAATTTGGGGCTATTATGAGTGAAGCTTTAATAACCATTCTTGTACAAGTTGTGTGTGTGTGTGTGTGTGTGTGTTTATTTCACCCAGGTAAATATTCAGGAATAGAGTGACTGGATCATAAGGTTGTTATATCTTAACTTTATAAGAAGCTTCCCAACAATCTTCCAAGTGGTTGAAGCATTTTACATTCCCACCAGCAGCGGATGGGTGCTCCAGCTACTCTCCATTCTCATCAACTCTTGGTTATTGTCAGTCTTTTAATTTTAGTTATCCTTATGGGTGCAGAGTGTCTCTGTATTGTTTTACCTTGCCATTTCCCTAGTGACCAGTAATGTTGAGTATGTTTTCATGTGCTTTAAACCATTCTTGTGTCTTCTACTCTCAAGTATGTGTTCAAGTTTTTTTGCCCATTTTTTATTGGGTTTTTTGTCCTTTGTTATTGGCTTATAGTTTTTTGTGTATTCTCAGCACAAGCCCTTCAGAAATAATTACTGTGAATATTTTCTCAAAGTCAGTGAATTATCTTTCTAGTTTTCTTAAAGTGTCTTTTCATTAGCAAAAACAACTTAATTTTGATCAAGTACAGTTCACCATTTTTTTCTTTTATAGCTAATGTATTTTCTAAATTTTTCAGGGTATATTAAAATACAATTGAATTTTGTATATTGATCTTTTATCTACAAATGCTGATAAATTAACTTATTAGCTCATGGTATATCTGAGGATGATTTTGTATTTTGTATATACACAATCAGGTCATCTGCAAGTAATGATAGTTTTATTCTTTTTCAATCCTGATGTTTTTATTTCTTATTCTTTCTTACACAGCTAGGCCTTTAGTACAATGTTCAATAGAAATGATGATCTTTCTTTTGTTCTTAATCTCAGATGGAAATGCTCAATGTCTCATCATTTGCTGTGATGTTTTTAGTGGGTATGCTCTATCAGATTAAGAAAACTATCTTCTACTACAAGGTTTCAAAGACTTAGTTTTGAATGGGTGTTGAATTTCATTATTACTTCTGCAGTTGTTAAGATAATTAAATATGATTTCACATTTATTCTTTGAAGGCAGTGAATGATTTTCAAATGCTAAATCCTTACTATATTCTGGGATAAACCTAAGTTTTAAATGATTGAGTATTTTTATAGTACAGCAGCTTTTTTTGATTAGTTTGTGCATAGTATATTCTGTTCCTCCTTTTTTCACCTTTTGTGTGTCCTCATATTTAAAGTGTGACATTTGGAAGGGTCACCAAGTTGTTGTTTTTAATCTACTGTGAGAAT